TGACAACAAAATCACACAAAAATTAAAAAATGGAAATCAAATTTTTCAACCCATGGAGGTCTGGATTTGGAGTCACACTCAAAATTAAAGTGGAAAAACACATTACAGGCTGATCCAACTTTGATGTAATGTTCTTAAAACAAATAAAAATGAGGCTCAGTAGTGTGTGTGGCCTCCACGTGCCTTTATGACCTCCCTACAATGCCTGTGCATGCTCCTGATGAGGTGGCGGATGGTCTCCTGAGGAATCTCCTCCTGGACAGTCTGTGGTGCAACGTGACATTGGTGGATGGAGCGAGACATGATGTCCTCAATTGGATTCAGGTATGGGGAACGAGCGGGCCAGTCCATAGCATCAATGCCTTCGTCTTGCAGGAATTGCTGACACACTCCAGCCACATGAGGTCTAGCATTGTCTTGCACTAGGAGGAAGCCAAGGCCAACCGCACCAGCATATGGTCTCACAAGGGGTCTGAAGATCTCATCTCGGTACCTAATGGCAGTCAGGCTACTTCTGGCGAGCACATGGAGGGCTGTGCGGCCCCCCAAAGAAATGCCACCCCACACCATTACTGACCCATTGCCAAACTGGTCATGCTGGAGAATGTTGCAGGCAGCAGAATGTTCTTCACAGCGTCTCCAGACTCTGTCACATGTGCTCAGTGTGAACCTGCTTTCATCTATGAAGAGCACAGGGAGCCAGTGGCGAATTTGCCAATCTTGGTGTTCTCTGGCAAATGTCAAACGTCCTGCATGGTGTTGGGCTGTAAGCACAACCCCCACCTGTGGACGTCGGGCCCTCATACCACCCTTATATAGTCTGTTTCTGAACGTTTGAGCAGACATATGCACATTTGTGGCCTGCTGGAGGTCCTTTTGCAGGGCTCTGGCAGTGCTCCTCCTGTTCCTCCTTGCATAAAGGCGGAGGTAGCCATCCTGCTGCTGGGTTATTGCCCTCCTACGGCCGCCTCCATGTCTCCTGATGTACTGGCCTGTCTCCTAGTAGCGCCTCCATGTTCTGGACATTACGCTGACAGACACCGCAAACCTTCTTGCCACAGCTCGCATTGATGTGCCATCCTGGATGAGCTGCACTACCTGAGCCACTTGTGTGGGTTGTAGACTCCGTCTCATGCTACCACTAGAGTAGAAAGCACCACCAGCATTCAAAAGTGACCAAAACATCAGCCAGGAAGCATAAGAACTGAGAAGTGGTCTGTGGTCACCACCTGCAGAACCACTCCTTTATTGGTGGTGTCTTGCTAATTGCCTATAATTTCCACCTGTTGTCTATCCTAGTTACACAACAGCATTTGAAATTGATTGTCACTCAGTGTTGCTTCCTAAGTGGACCGTTTGATTTCACAGAAGTGTGATTGATTTGGAGTTACATTGTGTTGTTTAAGTGTTCCCTTTATTTTTTTGAGCAGTGTGTGTGTATATATACATAATCTCAATACAGGTTGAACAAAATTATTTATTTATATATAATTTTTAAAATAATACTTATAATTTATTATATATTTCATTCTAAGTTTCATTTAAATTACTTGATCTAACATGTTTCACTTGATTATTCGTGCATTACCAAACTCCCGAAAGGGAACATTGTTTCGTTACATTTGCGTTACATACCAGGCTATTACGTTCGTGCACATAATCTCCCGAACCGGAATACTTTAGTTTTACATTTGCCTGTCATACCAGGCTATTACGTTTGTGCATTTAATCTCCCGAACGAGAACACTCTTTCGTTTTACATTTGCAGGTCATTAACCGACTATTATGTTCGTGCACACATCTCACGAACAGCAGTTCACAGCATGCTTACATTGACCCCTACAGGTCACCCCTAAAAATCTCAGGATAAAACACATTTGATTTGTGGGATTTTCTGCAGAACACTCATGGTTACAAGCTCTGAGTGCGGTCAAATACTGCCGAATTGAACATAATCTGCCGTAATCATATGACACATGGATCCAGGTTGTAACAGAAAATACAGTATGGCCTTGAAACCTCAGCTCAACAGGATACGCAAAACCTGGTCCTTACAGTCCTTAATATTGCTTCCTATCACTGAGAACAAAGACTGTTTGTGCATTTACATTCCCCAAAGTAACTAATCGTGCATTTGGCCCTAACTGTTCGAATACCGAATATTTTGTCGAATGACCGACCAGGAGTGTGCCAGCAATTAACCCTTTTGACCTGTAAAAACCGCAAACACCTCAACGTTCCAATGGATTAACAGGGTGGTCAGCGTTCATCTGTGCGAACACGTGGCAGCGGCCATTTTGTTTAGTCGAACGCACTCAGCGGTGTTTGGTCGTCGACTGCGTGGAACTGTTTTCAGCTACCTTCTACAAACACCGCTGAATTTCTACGTTCTGTGCGTTCGACTAGACTCATATGAACAAGGCGCTAATTTGTGAGTTTATTCATCCGAACAATCTGCATCCAGTGATGGCAGGAACAAACCGTTCCGTTCATGCATTTTATACTTATTACAAAGGGAGAATTGACCGACCGCAGAGACTGAAATTGTGGAACTATTTTGCGCAGAGAAATGTGCCCGCGGCAGTCACATTCACCTTTTCACTAACTCCCAAACCACTGATCCAATTTGTGCCCTTTTTGAATGTTTATCTGAATGTATGGGTTATTAAAATGTAACTTTTATTAAGATCCTATGCATAGTTTTAAAGTTATGGAAAATAACTAACTAGAAAAGTATATATTTTTTTTTTTAGCTTGGAGATAATTAAGCTGATATAACGATTAACTCAATTATCTCCTAAGCAGAGGAGAGGAATGTATTGCAATTAATGGGTGTGCTTTTACTGTACAATTGTAACTGATTGGCTGCTGTATTTCATTTGTCAGTGCCCCACAAGGTCCACGTGGGTGGTAACCTTACTTTAAAACCTGCATAAAAGCAGCTGCTTGTGTGGTCATTAAATCAGTTCTGCTTAACCCTTCAAAACGTAGCCTCGTCTCGTTATTAAAAGGGAACCTGCTCAGCATAATCACTAGCACTTTTAAGAGCTCTGCTTTACTCTCTACTCTGATCCAGCAGATGGGATATCGCAACTCCACTACAGCACAGCATCTTTCTGGGAAGAAGGACGTCTCCAACAGCTAATACCTCTATACAACCTGGGTAGCCGTTACACCGCTATTTACAGCACAAACTCATACGAGCACTTTTTGTGAGAAATCACATGAAATAAAGCATTTCGTCTACATACTGACCCCTACCGGTCAATAGCCATACAGCATGTTTCACATATAATTATAAGGAATTTCTGCTACCAGCTTGTGTGGAATATTCACATTATGTTTTGACAGCTGACAGTCACTTTTTTTTTTTTTTTTACTACTTTATATATACCCAGTACCTATTTAAATTCTATACAACACATAATACATAGAGCACTCTGCTTATAATAACAAGCCGTCCCTATGAGAAGGGGGACATAAAGCATACAGGTAACTTTGACAGAGCACTTTGCTCTTTCACTTGTACATGCTGCACATAATAGGTTAAGCTTGGTACATGTCTATAACCATTAATTCATACAGTGTTTAGCCGTTTTTCATGTTATAGGTACCTTTCTCTTTAATCCTGTACATACTGCACATATTCAGATAAGCTTGGCATATGTCCATATCCATTATTTCATACGTTGTTTTATCCATTCAGGTTACAGGTACTACTAAAACCTATTTGGTTTTTCAGTTCACAAGCCATACTACAAGGTATGTATGCCTGCTCATGTGCAATATACATATTCTATATTCCCTGGAATAGATAATAGCGTACTAGCAATTAGGAGTTTTAGGGTCCTATAGGTATTTTCCTTTTCTCTGCATTATGCCTTTCAGTTAGTGGTCCCGCGAGGTCAACACCCCGCCTCACATTCGGAGGCATACGCCCATTGGGCCACTCGTTAGCTAGCCACATAGCATAGTAACAGAGAGAGGGCCTCACCTGCCACTCCCTTTCCTTTTATCTGGTTACAATCACTGAGGCCGACATCCAGCCACTACGTTTGGTGGCCACAAAAATTCCCCTTGCGCCAACGCATAGAGCCTCTCAAGCCACTTGACAACTAGCAGGGCCTCACCAGTCACCAAAACCAAGCAATAATTGTTTTGCCTTTACGGCTTTAGTTAGCAAGCCAGTACAAGACCCCTGTTGTTTAAATAATAATTGCTATCTTCATGTTATTTAAGTATGTCTCAAGAAGGTGGCGAGGATTTATCTCTACCGAGCACTCCGGCTAGATTAGACACACCTTCACGTAGAGGAGATGTTGCTAGTCCAGCATCAATCAGATCCTGGACAATCCCATGCATTACCACAAAGCTAAGGAGGCAACAAATCCCCTACCCAGCCAACGCAAGGAAAGCTGAACTATTTAAGCTGCTCCGCACATCAACGGATAACATAGAGGTGGGGGAAGGCACTAACAACACCAATTCGGGTGACATACATGCTATCATCACTCATGAATTCCATGAGCAAAGTAAATGACAGACTGGAAAATCTCGGGTCGGTCACCACAGCCCGCTACAGTACAACCAGCATCAACCGAAACTCAGCTGGTTCAATCAATTCTTCTGACGCTCAGGACGTTAACCCTGCATATATGATTCCAGCTCACATTAAGAAAGATATCCTGGAAGGTAAAGATGTCAACTTAGCATCTCTGCTAATTGCCTCCCAGGATATTGTCGAAAACAAAATGTATGCTTATGATGTATCTGTGTGGTGGTCAGATCCAGGGATTCAAGGTTAAACAGGAAACTGACCATCCCTGAGTTTGTTTTGGTATTTACAGAGATGTGATTTGTGCAGTGTACCCTAACAGAAGGGAAAAATTTGACCTATAATATGCACAAGCTGGTAGACCTAGGAAACAAATATGGCGGTACAGCATTTTATGACTACCATAGGTCTTTTTCAGCCAAAGTGTCTGGCGCTCTCTCCCAATTCGGTAACAAAACCAACTGGAGCAAGCTGAATATAGAGATATTCTGCAGACACTTTGCAGGTCTTAAGACACCAGCTTGTGCATCCTGGTCTTCCACTACCCACACAACCAATTTTTGTCCAAACACAGCGGACACTCTCATGCTCCAAGCACTAGCACCTCTGGTAGAACGGAGAGAACTACCAGAGACAAATTGGGTTGTCCACTTATTTTTTAAGGCAATTAACAGATTTGCAACAGTTTTAACATGGGCACGTGTAGTTACAGTGCATGCAGACTGTTGCATATATGTTCAAAATGTTTCGGGGCACATGCAAAAACCATGTGTCCCAATAAAATGTACCCAAAATCTTTTATATATTCGCTGAAACACTTTGCTGGTTATTAAATATATCCAGATGCCCCACAGTCATACACTATCTGGATGACTTCTTGTTGGTTGAAGAAAACACCTTTCCTCCCAGAAGCCTAAAGGAAGCGATTAGTCTGTTCGACCACTTGGGCGTCCCAGTATCCCCTAAGAAAGCTGAAGGTCCAGACACTATCATCACATTCCTAGGCATCCAACATGACTCTGCATCCATGCAAGCAAGTTTACCACAAGACAAAATAAGGAACATTCTCAACAACATCAATCACTACCTCATGCTTGGTACTTGCAACCGCAAGAAACTACAATCCTTTCTAGGTTCCTTAAATTTTGCCATGCACATCATACCACAAGGCCGCGCTTTCATATCCAGACTACTTTGCCTTTTTCCACAATTCCGACATGACCACAGGCAGTCTCTAGATATCCAAGCCACGGCAGACCTGCACATGTGGAAGAATTTCTTAACCACATGGAATGGTAAAAGCATGTTCCTCCCAGGATTGTCTGACACTTCACCAACCATATGGTCAGACGCGGCATCTACCACGGGTTTTGCAGCAATCTATGGGAATGAATGGCTTTGGGTAGTTGACCTGTAGAAGTCCAGGATTTGGAAGGATTCTCCACTACCTCAGCTCTTTTTGAGAGCTACCCTATTGTGGCAGCTGCCGTGGCATGTGGTCATTTATGGTCCGGGTCATCCGTCCGTTGTTACTCAGACAACCAAGCCAAATGTCATATCATCAACAAGGGCCGCTCATCATCTCTAACTATCATGAGATTTCTAAGGAAACTCACTTAGTTGACCACAAGTCACAATTTCTTTTTGGTTTGCTTTCATGTACCAGGCATTTGTAACATAGCCGCTGACAATTTGTCTCGCTTTAAATTCCAGGCATTTCATCAAGCACTTCCTACAGCCGCTCAAGCAGCCACAGCCACTCCTTCTTTCCAGCATCTAATCATGGATTAGGCATACTCATGCAACATAGCAGGGAATTGTCCCAATTAGCACTTTCATCCAATACTCGTAGGATGTAAAACAGAGCTTTCACCTTGTTTAAAAGATCCCTATTGGAACATGACATATCCCAACCTTTTGTCATGACATCTATCCTAGGTTTTTCTTCTTTTTGCCATCTTAAGCTACAACTATCTTACAACACCATTAAATTATATTTGATAGGCATTCAACACCACATGGTAACCCTATGGCCAAACAACCATAGCATCATGTCATCATACCAGATGAAGAACATACTCAGAGGTATTCAGACATCAGTTCCCCCACGTACCTCTCAGAGATTACCAATAGACAACAAACTTTTCCAATCCTTATCTGACCTATTAGATTTACACCCATTTAATTCTACTACCAACTCGGTAATTAAATAGGCCATGTACATGGCCATCTACGGTTTTCTCAGGCCAAGAGAGTTTACTACCATCATCACCACTCAGACAGACAGATGTCTTCAACGTTCCCACCTAAGCAAGCACATGGATCGCTAGATATTGGCTCTACCCAGGGCCGGATTAAGAGCCCAGTGGGACTGGTGCTGGCCAAATTACAAAATCTTATTGACCAAAAACACTAAAACAGTCCTACCTCCTAAGCGTCATGTATCTGATGGAGATGGTGCTGGAGGGAAACTCATAGGACGCAACTATGAGAAAACACATACCCTTTGCTAATCTCACGCTTTCATCTTTCAAGTAAACCCATACCCCCTAATAGCAGTGTCCAGTAAAGCAGGAAGTCTATGGATGCGGTAAAAGGGTGGGCCACTGACACAAATCACATAACCAGAACGGGCAAAAGGGCAAACCTACACAAAAAGGGGGCATGTCTGTGTCCCGATGTCTCCCAGTCCCTTAGTGTCTGTGTCCCCATGTCTTCCAGTGTCCATGTCACTAGGACACATTGAGAGACATTGGGACACTGAGAGACATGGGGACACAGATACTAGGGAACACTGGGAGACCTGGGGACACTGGGAGACATGGGGACACTGGGTGACAGACACGAGGGGACACTGGGATATATAGGGGACACTGGAGACTTGATAAAGACCTAGGTACAGGTTAAAATGTTGCGGTGTCCATTAAACCTGCTTAAAGCTATCACAGTGAGTGCCTGAGTTTTTTTTTTTTTCTTTTATACTAGGGGACACTGAGACACTACGGGCACAGAGACACTACGGGCACTGAGACACTCTGATACATAGGGGACACTGATACATAGGGGACATTGGAGACTGTGTCCCTAGTGTCTCAGGGTCCCCATGTTCTCCAGTGTCCCAATGTCTCAGCATCCCCATGTCTCGGAGCTGCTGTCTGGACTCTCTGTGCAGAGCTGCTCCCCTGCGGATCAGTGAGTTGAGAGAGGCAGGGAGGGAGATGCCGTAACTTCTTATTACTGCCTCTCTCTACACAAACAGTGACCCCTACTGGCCGGCGCTGGTATTGCAGAATAATCTCTGTTTATACTGAGACAGACATTTGTATTGCCGGTATTACTGCAATACCGGCACCGGCTAGGCAGCCTCAAATACCTGAGAAATACCTCTGAGAAATACCTGGCAACCCTAAGAAATACATTGATTTTAAAAATCAATGGGCCTATTCCATGGGCCTGGGCCTGGAGCTGCAGCTCCATCAGCCCCTATGTTAATCCGGCCCTGGCCCTACCACATTCCAGGACGAGCCAACACGCACCACCAGTAGAAATAACATATTATCCTACCCACGATAAATGGTGCCCGGTTGCGGTCCTAGATTCATACCTTCAAAACCCTACCTCACAACCATTATTTGTATTACAAGGCTCCGTGCTTACTACTGCTACATTCATGAGATATGTCAGATCTGTTAACCCAGCTAGGCTGCAACCCTTCTACCTACTTGGGTCACTCCTCCAGCGCCACCATACAAGTGCACATTATCAGATCACTGGGGCGATGGAAGTCTTCTGCTTATACGCGGTACATGCCCAGACCGGTACAGGAGATATGAAGTGCATTTAAGGAAATATCTGGTTAATTTGTATGTATTTGTTTACTGAATTAAATCTTTGGTTTTTCACTTTTTGCCCTCTTTATTTACAGGCCTACTGTATCGTCTGTCCCGACACACCACAAACGACTTGCTCTTTTATACTATTCTACGCTTATACTGGAACTTTACTCCTTATATACCTATGTGTCCCTAACATGCATCTACTAAATATAACGTCATACTACATGTGTTTTTTATTAAACCGTTTTCAAATTCAGTGTTCATTCAGTGCTACATGTCATGCAGGGTGTGTACATTTACAGAAAATGGTTTTTTTGGTTATGCAATGATATACATTTACAACATAGTGGTCCACTGTGAACAATTTATTTTGTTTTTACAACCTGGGAAAGGGGTGAGGGGTTTCTGGTTGAGAGAGCTGAGTTTACCCAATAGTTGTCCCGTTTCAGTAGGGAGTCTTATCCAGATCATTGAGGGGTACTTATGGATCTGTCATTGGAGATGGGCGTAAGGCTGAGTGTAATTTTGTATGCCCGGGTTAACCACCCCACAACATACATTTGCATTGCTGTTACAATTTCTGTTGTAATCATTATGAGCTTGGCTGTCGAGACTTCAAGACCATTTCCTCAGGTGAGGTGGGGGGGGGGGCTGCGGCCTCTAAAGACCACCCACATCTGCCAAGCTCTGCTCCAAAAGGTTGCCTTAGTGGCAAGAGCTGTTCTGCACAAGGATTCATAGGGTCGTGTCAATAAGCTGTACGCACTGCAGTATGGTCGGCGCCTCCAGCTTTTTCCACAATCTGCTTATCGGAGCTGGGGCCGCTATGTTAATCTGGTAAATTAGATATTTTGTTGCTTTGGGTAGTTTGGGCGGGTAGTTATGTAGCAAGGTGTTTTAGGTAGATCACTGCCCGTGCTGTTTTGAATCAGCGTAATTATCGATGCCCAGTAAGATGTGAGTATAGGGCACGCCCACCAAATGTGGATCATGGTTCCCGAGGTGCACCGCCAACATTTATCTGATGCTTCAGGATAAATTCGCTTAAGGTGTGTAGGCACTAGGTACCACCTGTAGAGTATTTTTTTTTATAGATAATTTGGTGTGGTTTGCGCCAGTTGTGAGTTGTTTGGTAGTGAGAAATATCTCCCGCCATGTTTTGTCTGGTATGGGTTGCCCAAAGTCTTTCTCCCATGTCACCACAAAGGGGGTGAGGTTGTATTGTAGTATATTAGAATAGAGCGCCGAAAAGGTTTTGTGCGCTGGTGTCCGCTTGAGTAGAGTTCGCTCAAAGCTCGTCAGCTGGTGCTCATTTACATTATCACTGTTTTCCCATGCAGTTTTGTTAGCCATGAGTGTATTTGTAGGTGTGAGAAGTGGGCTATGGATGGGAGGCCATAGCTGCGTTGCATCTCTGGAAATGTTAGAGAGTGTCATGATAGAACTGATAGATGGAATGAATCCTGTGTCGTACCCAGATTTTATGATTGAAATCCGGTATCGCTGAGGTTAGGGCTGAAACTGGCATAGATTTAGCGTGTGGGTTCTGTGAACAACATTTGTGTTTGTTCATGTCCCAAATTTGGAGTGTTGTGTCTGTTGTCGGTAGCATATTTAATTACTGCAATACCGGCACCGGCTAGGCAGCCTCAAATTTTCCAATGTCACCCATTGAGGTGGTGATCTGTGAGTGTGGATTGGTATCATACAGTTAACGATAGCCGCCTGGTAATACATGCAGAGGTTTGGCGCATTCATCCTGCCTTCGGCTGTTTTTTGATACTTTTTCTTGCAACTGTATAATGTATGTGAACCCTTTGGAATGATATGGATTTCTGCACAAATTGGTCATAAAATCTGATCATCATCTAAGTCACAACAATAGACAATCACAGACAATCAATTAGTTTACATGGTGTGTTCAATAAAAACATGGCAACAGTTCATTCTTTGTGTGTTATTAATTTAAGCAGACTGTGATTGTCTATTGTACTTTTTCTTGCAACTGTATGTGCTTTCACTCTAGGTAACTTGTATTCCCAGGTGAATTGGTTAAGCAGCTGTTGTGCCTCACTAAAGTAGGCAGTTGGGAGATGAATGGGCAGGGTACGAAACCGGTATTGAAATTTGGGGACTATGATCAGTCTGCCTGTCCATGAGATATATTTTTACGCCAGCTGTCTAGTGTTGATTTCACCTCTCTGACTAATTTCTGGTAGTTGGCTTCATATATACCTGGGGTGTTGGGTGTGAGAACAATTCCCAGGAAGGATGGGCTATCTGACCAATCGAACCTGTGTTGGGTTTGTAGGTCTAGTAGTGAGCGGCTTTGCATATTGATTCCCATAGCTTGCGTTTTGGTCAGATTGAGTTTATAGTAGGAACACTTACTGTATTCATGTAAGATTTGGATTTGGTTCCAGCGCTAACACATACAGTAGGGGGGAGAGGGGGCAGCCCTGCCTGGAGCTGTTGGTGATGTTAAATGGGACGGAGGTAAAACCTCTTACCACCACCTTGGCCACTGGTTTGCTATATAGGGCCTGGACTGCTAAGAAACTCTCCTGGAAACCCATATTTTCGCAGCACTGCGAGGAGGAAGGGCCAGTGCAGCCTGTCAAATGATTTCTCTGCATCTAGTGAGAGGAATACACTGCATCCCTCCCACCCCCCGCAGCACCTGCATCAGGTCAAGCACTTTGCATGTGCCGTCACTTCCCTGGCGACCTTGTATGAATCCAACTTGATCATTGTGTATGGTCGACAGTCTGTTTGCAAATATTTTTATGTCTATATTGAACAATGAGATTGGGCGTAGGTTTTGTCCTTTAAGTGGAATTTTCCCTGGTTTGGGGAGGGTATTGATGTGTGCCATAAGCATATCAGCAGGTGTGTTACCCTGTGAGAGCATTGTTGTGTAGGTTTTTAAGAGCTGTGGGGCCAGCGTGTGTGCATGCATTTTATAGTAAATATTGGGGAAGCCATCCGGTCCCAACAGTTTCCCTGGAGGGAGTCCCAGTATCATTGGATTACCTCCTCTTCTGTTATGCGCGTTTGAAGAATGTCTATGTGGTCCGACTCCTGAGTGAGGGCCGGTAGTGCGACTTTCGCTAAGAAAGTTTGTATTTCAAGGTTCGTGGATTGGTGTGTATGGGCGTCCCCTTTCAAATTGTATTGGGTCATGTAATATTTAGCTAGTTCGACTGTCTTGTAGGTTATAAAGTTTTTTTTTTTTTTTCTCCGTGCTTAAGATATATAGGGGATTTTGGTGTGTCAGTGTTTGTCGAATTTTTGCAACAAGTAGTCTGCCCGTTTTGTTCTGGTGATACCCTCGGATTTTCCGTTTTTTGCATCATGTAGTATGTTTTCGACATTGCCATTATATTTAATTGGTTGGTAAGGTTTGTGATATCCATCAATAGGGCATCAGTAGCTTGGATGTAGTGTCGTGCTGTGGCATCCCTGAGATTCCTCAGTAAAGTCACTTGCTCCCTATGCGCTTGCTTTTTGAGGTAGGATGCTTGGCTCAGAAATAGGCCACACATGACAGATTTGACGTTGTGGCAGGCTTATGCAATGTATGATCATATAATGTAACTAAACCCCCATTATTTTTGCCTAGGTTAGGTGTTTTAAAAAACAAAAACAAATAAAATCTTTCAACATTGAAGTTGCTGTGTAGTGGATAGGTGAGTGTGCTGGATCGTGTGTGTGTGTGTGTGTGTGTATGTATGTGTGTATATATATATATATTACACACACACACACACACACACACACACACACACACACACACACACACACACAGACTGGGGTGCACTCACGGGTCTTGAAGAAAGACGACAATCAAATACTTTAAGGTGAAAAAAACTGCATTGTAGTCGTGATGAAAATCAACGTTTCGACCTCTAAGGGTCTTTTTCAAGATCACAATACATTTCAAATAGTGGCATTATATACAAAATCAACAAATCAAGAAACTTACCCAAACATGTGAATAGCATTAATTAGGAACCCAATAACCCGCGAAACCGGAAACCCGGAAGCGCTGTATGCCGTGATGACGTCATCACGTAGTGACGTCTCATGGAAGAGACCAGTGATAAGTGGTAACCAGGCGACCGAACGACGCCGTGCCCGAAGTGAACTATGTAGAAAAAAGAACAGCATCCCGAGATAGGGGATTTTAACAAGAACGGACACAAAGTGTCTAAATGGAGGAATATAAATAAGCTATACAGCTAAATAGCCAAGGGGGGATTAGAATGTGCATATAATAAATATATAATAATACATATGTATATGTATACTCCAGGATCTGCTAATATAACATACAGAAGCACAAAGCAAACCTCAAACAGACAAAAAGAATATGTACCCATAAAAAATCATAAAAATCAATAAAATGTATACGAATCACCCATTCATACATCTTCCAAATAAGTGCAAAAAAGTGAACACCAATAAACCTCTAAGTGTAAACATGGAAGAGAAGGGTGACAATATAACAAACCTATCAGCCCAAGACTTAGTATATTAGATCCAGTAATTAAATCTTAAACATACCCCATATACTACAACAACATGTCTATGTATGGTAATAATCTTTACAAAGATATATCTTATAGCCATATTGATAATCAAAATTGTAGGCACATCGCAAAAGACAGCAAAAGAGCCATATAAGAAGAGCTGCATTGAGGAACTAAAGAAATAATAATACTAATAATAATAATACTAATAATTAAAAATAAACATAGAAATAAAAATTAAATTAAAAAAAATAAAATAAAAATAGAAGTAAAAGTACAAATACAAATACTAAAAAATGAACACAGAAACTAATCAGCCAAGTACAAGGACACAAGATATATCTACAAAAAAACAGAGAAGACTATATTTTCATTTAATCCTTTAGGAGCGACCGTATCTAATTTATAAATCCAAGCTGCTTCTTTTTGTAATAAAGCTTTAGATCTGTCACCTCCACGGGGAAGAGGAGGGACATGATCAATCGCTATAAATTTTAATGTGGGCAAGTGATGTTGTGCTGCCAAAAAATGTTTGGCAACAGGTTTTTCTGTCTTATTATCTCGAAAAGCGGTCATAATTCCTGAACGATGACCGCGTATACGATCACGTAATGTCAAATCAGTCTTGCCTATATACGAGAGGCCACATGGGCAAGTAATCATGTAAATGACATGATCAGTGGTACACGTAATATAGTGTGGTATAGATATACGTTTGCCACTATAAGGATGGCTAAATGTTGTACCACTGATCATGTGACTACATGTAACGCAGCGAGAACATTTAAAACATCCTTTCTTTTTAACAGAAGGTTTCTTATAACATTGAACAGGGTCGCTCTTCACCAATAAATTGCGGAGATTTTTATTCCTTTTATAACTGATGATCGGTTTTTGTTGAAATGTTACGGAGATTCCCATCCGCCTGAAGAATGTCCCAATGTTTTTTTATAGAATCTCTCATTTTTAATGTACCTGTATGAAAAGTTATTGGTAAAAAAATATTATTATGAGGTTGTTTCGTGATCCTGGCTGAAGTACTGCTGGTCTGGTCTATGAAGCGTTTCATCGCTTGATTCTTAGCTTTATCCAATATCCAAGGATGGTAGCCACGTGCAAGAAAACGTTCATACATCTCTTGGAGTTGTATATCTCTAGATGACATTTCACTATTGTAACGAAGAACCCGGAGGAACTGTGATACAGGTAATGCATCCTTAAAGTGTTGAGGATGGAAACTGGTCGCCAACAAGAGCGTATTCCGATCGGTCTGTTTTCTGTATAGTGTATAACATAATGTACATTTCTCTGGATGTTTGTATACTTGAACATCAAGGAATTGTATAGATGTTTCATGCCACGAAGGTGTAAGGGTAATAGGTACTGGTGAAGAATTAACAGATTGAACCATATCTTCTAATTCCTCTACTGTACCATCCCATACCAGGAAGATATCGTCCACATATCGAAGATATTTCAAAATGTTTTGTTGATGCACTGGCAAAATATATTTATTTTCAAACCAAAACATAAAGGAATTAGCATATGAGGGCGCCATAGCCGCCCCCATAGCTGTGCCTGATGTCTGGAGGAAAAATTGGTCCTCAAATTTAAAATAATTGCAAGTTAATGCAATGGACAAAAACTCGATAAGATACTCAATTGGGGGTCCAACGTATGACTCCGAACCACATAGCATTTCCCGTACTGCTTGTATACCAAGGTCATGAGGTATGACGGTATATAAACTTTGCACATCAAGTGTGATCATCAGTTATAAAAGGAATAAAAATCTCTGCGATTTATTGGTGAAGAGCGACCCTGTTCAATGTTATAAGAAACCTTCTGTTGTTAAAAAGAAAGGATGTTTTAAATGTTCTGGCTGCGTTACATGTAGTCACATGATCAGTGGTACAACATTTAGCCATCCTTATAGTGGCAAACGTATATCTATACCACACTATATTACGTGTACCACTGATCATGTCATTTACATGATTACTTGCCCATGTGGCCTCTCGTATATAGGCAAGACTGATTTGACATTACGTGATCGTATACGCGGTCATCGTTCAGGAATTATGACCGCTTTTCGAGATAATAAAACAGAAAAACCTGTTGCCAAAAATTTTTTGGCAGCGCAACATCACTTGCCCACATTAAAATTTATAGCGATTGATCATGTCCCTCCTCTTCCCCGTGGAGGTGACAGATCTAAAGCTTTATTACAAAAAGAAGCAGCTTGGATTTATAAATTAGATACGGTCGCTCCTAAAGGATTAAATGAAAATATAGTCTTCTCTGTTTTTTTGTAGATATATCTTGTGTCCTTGTACTTGGCTGATTAGTTTCTGTGTTCATTTTTTTATTATTTGTATTTGTATTTGTATTTGTATTTCTATTTGTATTTCTATTTGTATTTGTATTTGTATTTGTATTTGTATTTGTATTTGTATTTGTATTTGTATTTGTATTTGTATTTGTATTTGTATTTGTATTTGTATTTGTATTTGTATTTGTATTTGTATTTTCATTTTCATTTTTATTTTTATATTTATTTTTATTTTCACTTTTATTTTTATTTATTTTTTTTATTTCATTTTTATTTTTATGTTTATTTTTATGTTTATTTTTATGTTTATTTTTAATTATTAGTATTATTATTATTATTTCTTTAGTTCCTCAATGCAGCTCTTCTTATATGGCTCTTTTGCTGTCTTTTGCGATGTGCCTACAATTTTGATTATCAATATGGCTATAAGATATATCTTTGTAAAGATTACCATACATAGACATGTTGTTGTAGTATATGGGGTATGTTTAAGATTGAATTACTGGATCTAATATACTAAGTCTTGGGCTGATAGGTTTGTTATATTGTCACCCTTCTCTTCCATGTTTACACTTATTGGTGTTCACTTTTTTGCACTTATTTGGAAGATGTATGAATGGGTGATTCGTATACATTTTATTGATTTTTATGGGTACATATTCTTTTTGTTGTTTGCTTTGTGCTTCTGTATGTTATATTAGCAGATCCTGGAGTATACATATACATATGTATTATTATATATTTATTATATGCACATTCTAATCCCCCCTTGGCTATTTAGCTGTATAGCTTATTTATATTCCTCCATCTAGACACTTTGTGTCCGTTCTTGTTAAAATCCCCTATCTCAGGATGCTGTTCTTTTTTTCTACATAGTTCACTTCGGGCACGGCGTCGTTCGGTCGCCTGGTTACCACTTATCACTGGTCTCTTCCATGAGACGTCACTACGTGATGACGTCATCACGGCATACAGCGCTTCCGGGTTTCCGGTTTCGCGGGTTATTGGGTTCCTAATTAATGCTATTCACATGTTTGGGTAAGTTTCTTGATTTGTTGATTTTGTATATAATGCCACTATTTGAAATGTATTGTGATCTTGAAAAAGACCCTTAGAGGTCGAAACGTTGATTTTCATCACGACTACAATGCAGTTTTTTTCACCTTAAAGTATTTGATTGTCGTCTTTCTTCAAGACCCGTGAGTGCACCCCAGTCTGTATATATGTGTGTATATATATATATATGTGTGTGTGTGTGTGTGTGTGTGTGTGTGTGTATATATATATATATATATATGTGTGTGTGTATATATAATCTATAATCTCTATATCTCTATCTATCTAACGCGGGTTGCACCGAGGCATAATACATTTTGTCTATATTCCAGCCTTGGAAGTAAGGAGAGTGCCAAGCAGTTATTGTTTTTTTGTTATATATATGTATATATGTGTGTGTGTGTGTGTGTGTGTGTGTGTGTATATATATATATATATGTGTGTGTAATATATATATAATATTTTATTCTGTGTATTTTGATATTTATAACAAAAAACGGTTAAGGACCGCGGACGTACCTATTATGAATAGGAGCCCTGGACTGGAGATCCGTGGCAATCGTCATGGGGGACTGCCGGAGACCCCCGAAGTCCCCCTGCTGCAACTCCGGCAACCCAGGCCCTCCAGGGCCATGTGATCAAAATGATCACATCGCCGCAATAGGAGTCTAGGAGCTGCCAGCAAGGGGACTGTCTGAGCTTTCAGACAGTCCTCCAGGCTGCTAAAAAGTAAAAAATAAAAATAAAAAATAAAAAATGTGTGTGTGTGTGTGTGTGTGTGTGTGTGTGTGTGTGTATATATTCTAAAATAATTAAAACCTTTTATAATTATTCATACATAATGCATATATATGATTTAATTAGAAGTGTACTTTGAGATATATACACATATATGTATAATATATTATAAAATGCTTTAATTATAATATACATATAGCAAACGTGTGTGTGTGTGTATGTATGTATGTGTGTGTATATATATATATATATGGGAAGGCGGAGTCTGGAGTTGTGGGAGGGGGTGATCCAGCCTACATAAACACAAACTTACCTCCATACTGGCCAACGTTGATTGGTCACTCCACCAGCACACCACAACCGAATTGGGCTAATAACACTATCAACAATGATTAAACCCTCCCCCCCCCCAAAAAAAAAACATGGTACCTCTCAACATCAAAAAGGACATATTGGAGGGTAAGGACGTTAATTCATGTCAGCGCAATTTGCTCATTCAGCTGTCACGCTACCAATTTGTGCTCCTTCGAACCCAATTCACCCACCACTAGCACGTTCGAACCAAGAGGGTTGAAAGACAAACTGGCTAGACCAATAGTCTTCTTGGAGAAGACTCAGATATACAACAACTTCAAAGCAGGGGGTTGCAGTTTCAGTGCCTGCAGGTTGTTGCATGTCTGCTCCATCTGTTTTAGAGCCCACGCCAAAACCACATGCCCTAATCGTCTCTTTCCTAACAAATGACTAAAGGAGGTACAAGTCGACAAACTAGACTTTTACCTTGTCCCACACCCTTCACAAGACCTAGTCAATTTTCTCATCACGGGCTTCACTGAAGGGTTCCACACTGGGTTAATTGCACTACCAACGGGCACGTTTGAATGTAACAACTTACAGTCCGCAACTTCAGATCCCACTACAGTGGATACACTCCTCAGCACTAGACTGAATCACTATGCAGGCAAGTCTCCCTGCAGACAAAGTTCAGAGAATCAGGACAGAGGTAGAATTGTTCCTCGACAGAGGTGCCACAAGCCAGAAAAACCTACAATCCCTCCTTGGTTCTCTGAACTTTTCCATGAGAGTTATCCCACAAGGACGAGCGTTTATATCCATGCTACTCAACCTTTTACCCACACTAACGAACGACTACAGCATAGTCACTCTGGACCAATAAGCTAGGTCAGACTTAGCCATGTGGAGTCAGTTCTTGAGTCAATGAAACGGTATTAACATGTTTATACCACCCTGTACAGAGATTTCCCCAGTTATATGGACTGACGCTGCAGCCCACTCAGGGTACGCAGCTATTTTTGGTAACAAATGGTTCAGAGACACATGACCAGTTGAAACAGCAATGTTACCATCATTCAACACCACCTTGCCCTTTTTGAGGTCTACCCAATAGTGGCAGCAGCCCAAGTTTGGGGACACATTTGGAAGGGACAAGCTGTAAAATGCTACTCGGACAACACAGATACATGCAATATTATTAATAAAGGGAGATCCTCAATCCCGACCATCATGAGGTTAGTCAGGAAACTGGTATGGTTGGCAGCCACAGAGCACTTTCATTTCATGTGCGAACATATACCGGGCCACCACAACACAGCAGCTGATGCCCTTTCTCGCTCTAAATTACAGGTGTGACATCAAGAACATCCCACTGCTGAGAAAAACCCATACAGATCTCAGCTAGTCCAGGAACTCATCCTGGACTAAATACACTCATGGCTCACGGCAGAATGCTAGCACAATCAGCACTCTCTGCAAACACCAGACGCTCGTACAATCGAGCACTAACAATATTCAACAGAATCATCATAGAAGTAGTAACCCGTGGTTATTAGATACCATGGTGGCATTTACATCTTTTTGCCACCTACACCTAAAGCTGGCACACAATACGATAAAATTATACCTTTTATGGGTTATTGAGATCAAACAAGTTCACCATAGAACAAACCAGTAATATCACTAACATGCTGAAAATGGCGGACCTTAACAAAATAGGGGACCACTATGTTTTTACACTTCGACACTCCAAAACGAATCAAACAGGACCACCCAACAAAATCCCCATATACCCCACAGACCACAAATGGTGCCCAGTACAGTTATTTGACCAACTATATCCATGTATAAAAATACAAGATAAAAACACCCCCCTACTAAATCTACACAGTAATCCGATGACAAAATCCAAATTTATGGTCCACGTATGGACCCTCTTTACAAAAATAGGGTGTAACCCATTAGCTTTCACCAGTCATTCATTCCGCATAGGGGCAGCAACTGCCGCTTTTAGTCAGAACGTCCCAGCACACATTATTAAAAAAATTAGGACGATGGAAGTTGTCCGCATACAACCGGTACATACTCCAACTGGAAAAAGAACGGAGGAAAGCATTTAAGGACATAACCAAATAAGGTGATCATGTCAAACACAATCTTGTATTAAAGATGTTTTTGCCCTCTTTATTTTACAGGCCTGCCCATACATTCAGTTTCAGCACACCACAACCAGTGGTATTAGGCAAGGTTAAAACATAGGTTCAACATTTCAGTCCTCACATGGGACTTTCATCAGGAGTGCGATCAGCATTCAGGAACAGGTCTGATGGTTACAGCCTGATTCACATCGATTCCACACTAAGGTCTCCAGTTTCACGAAACACTCTGCCTTATCAGTGCTGAGATCGGACGGGAGCTTGCACTGCAGGGACCAGTGGATGGTAAACGGCTGTCAAGCCTCTGATTCTTTCAAATGTGTATGTGGTGTCTTGGAGAGGAGTACCACCACTTGCTGATGTAAGGGTTTTTATTTGGGGGTAAGGGAATCTTTTTACACAAATAAAAGCAGTAATATAAATATATATATATCTCCTTTCAAGGTGCAATCTATATTGAGCTACAGTGTATCCATAGATGTTACATCTTTGCTGCAAGACGAGATTAACCCTTTAAAGACTTTTACCCAGAACTTTTGGACTCTTAAGCAAGTTTTAAATATTTTTTTGTGCATAATCAAACTTATTGTGATATATAGAGTTTGATATATACATAATACTAATGCACAGTTATAAGTTGTTGGTTTTCACATTTACACTGCCAATTGTAAGGCTATCATATATAGCGATGACATTCATTTTGTCAGTATTTGTAATATTGTTAAGCGAGCAAAGCAGTAAGGGAAATTGGATGTACTTGTCCAGCTAGGGACAAATGACTTGGCTTGCAAGGAGGTTTCAGAGGTAAAGGGAGTTTTTAGTGTTTTTGCCAATGATATACGGCAGGTTGCTTCCACACTGTCATTCTCTGAAGTTCTGCTTGTGGATAACACTCAGAACGACAGACGGATGCGTATTAGGGACTTTAACTTGTGGCTTGGTGAATGGTGTCGGGGGCAAGGATTTGGCTTTATTTCTCATGGTAGCTTTGTTTGGAATGGAAATAACCTGTACAAAAAAGATGGTTTGCATCTTTCTCAAAAGGGAACAAATGTTCTCAGTGAGCAGTTCAGAGGCTTTGCTAGGATGTATTTAAACTTCCTGATGTGAATTGGAAAACCAAAATAGCTGCTTGTGCCGGGAGCACACATATTCTAAACTCTCTACTGGGAATGTCTCTAAAACAAGTCGTTGAGGAGCCAACTCGTAAGGAGGCCATACTAGATTTAGTGTTAACAAATGGAGATTTGGTATCAGATATTACTGTAGGTGAAAGTTTAGGATCCAGTGATCATCAGTCAGTGTGGTTTAATATAAGAACAGTGACTGAGTCACACCACACAGAAAAAAAAGTTTTAGACTTTAGAAAAACAGACTTTTCTAAAATTAGAATATGTGTAAAGGAGTCATTATCAGACTGAAGCAATTTAAATGGAGACCAAGAGAAATGGGATTATTTAAAAGTTGCACTACTGAAGGCAACAGAAAATTGCATTAGGTTTGTCAGTAAAAGCAAAAAATTCAAGAAACCACTGTAGTACTCCGCAGATGTGGCCAGACTAGTAAACAAAAAGTTAGCATTTAGTAATTCTAAAAAAAACAGTGAGGAAGACAGAATGATCTATAAGATTAGGTAGAACGAGCATAAGCTAGTTATAAGAGCTTCCAAATCACACACAGAAAAGAAAATAGCACAGTCAGCAAAAAAAGGGACAAAACATTTTTAGATACATACATGAGAAAAGGAAAGTAAAACGAGGATTAGTTAGATTCAAAACAAAAGAAGGAAGGTATGTAGAAGAGGATAAAGGTCTAGCTGACTGCCTCAATAAATATTTTTGTTCAGTATTTACAGATGGAAATGAAGGAAAGGGGCCTCCGTTAGGAAAGAGGACAAATTAGTCATTTGCTACATATGAGTTTACAGAGGAAGAGGTTCTATTTCAACTGTCAAAAGTAAAGACAAATAAGTCAATGGGACCTGATGGAATACACCCAAAGTTATTAAAAGAGCTTAGTGGTGTACTAGCAAAACCATTAACAGATTTATTTAACCAATCATTGTTAACAGGAGTAGTCCCAGACGATTGGAAGTTAGCAAATGTTGTGCCCATTCACAAGAAAGGTAGTAGGGAGGAGTCGGGAAACTATAGGCCAGTAAGCCTTACTTCAGTAGTGGGGAAAGTAATGGAAACCATGTTAAATGATAGGATTGTTAAACATCTAAAAACACATGGATTTCAAGATCAGAGACAGCATGGGTTTTCTTCAGGGAGATCATGCCAAAGTAATCTTATTGATTTTTTTTGATTGGGTAACTAAAATAACCGATCAGGGTGGTGCAGACTTTGCTTACCTAGATTTCAGTAAGGCTTTTGACACTGTTGCACATAGAAGGCTTATCAATAAACTGTAATCTTTAAGTTTGGATTCCAATATTGTAGCATGGGTAAGGCAGTGGCTGAGTGACAGGCGAGGGTTGTAGTCAATGGAGTATATTCGAAGCATGGGCTGGTGGGGTACCTCAAGGATCTGTACTTGGACCCATTCTCTTTAATATTTTTATTAGTGATATTGCAGAAGGCCTTGATGGCAAGGTATGTATTTTTGCTGATGATACTAAGATATGTAACAGGGTTGATATTCCAGGAGGGATAAGCCAAATGGCAAATGATTTAGGTAAACTAGAAAAATGGTCAGAATTGTGGCAACTGACATTTAATGTGGATAAGTGCAAGATAATGCATCTTGGACGTAAAACCCAAGGGCAGAGTACAGAATATTTGATAGAGTCCTAACCGCAACATCTGAGGAAAGGGATTTAGGGGTGATTATTTCGGATGACTTAAAGGTAGGCAGACAATGTAATAGAGAAGCAGGACATGCTAGAAGAATGCTTGGTTGTATAGAGAGAGGTATTAGCAGTAGAAAGAGAGAAGAGCTCATGCCATTATACAGAAAACTGGTGAGACCTCGCTTGGAGTATTGTACGCAGTACTGGAGACCATATCTACAGAAGGATATTGATACTTTAGAGAGAGTTCAGAGAAGGGCTACTAAACTTATTCATGGATTGCAGGATAAAACTTACCAGGAAAGGTTAAAGGATCTTAACATGTATAGCTTGGAGGAAAGACGAGACAGGGGGAATATGATGGAAACATTTATATACATAAAGGGAATCAACACCGTAAAGGAGAAGACTATATTTAAAAGAAGAAAAACTACCACAACAAGAGGGCATAGTCTTAAATTAGAAGGGCAAAAGTTTGAAAATAATATCCTGAAGTATTACTTTACTGAGAGGGTAGTGGATGCATGTAATAGCCTTCCAGCTGAAGTGGTAGAGGTTAACACAGTAAAGGAGTTTGAGCATGCGTGGGATATGTATATGGCTATCTTAACTATAACATAAGGCCAGGGACTAATGAAAGTATTTTTAAAAATTGGGCAGACTAGATGGGCCGAATGGTTCTTATCTGCCGTCACATTCTATGTCTATGCTGGGTTACAGCACTGAGACCTATACATAACATGTTTTATTTACGTTTAAATTGTGTGGCAAGCTATTTAAAGTAGAAACATACTCAGACATCACTGGGCATTCTGCCATATTGCATATACTTTACCACAGGGGAAGCTCAGCATTTTAGTTGCATCACTTATGGGGTGTTTACACTGGAAGGGAGATTATGCCATACAGGTTTTCAACACTATACTAACAGACCGGTTTTTCCTCTTTTCCCTTTCATCAAATATATGTATTGTTGTGGTAATATATGTATGTGTGTGTGTGTGTATATATATATATATATATATATATATATATATATATATATATATATATATATGACATTCATGTTGACAGCTAAGGCGAGGCTGTTACATAAATTGAGTGTACATTTGGTTTGTCTATATAGATATATGGATCAGCTTCCATGTTTTAAAAGTGGGTAATTAATTGAAGCTCTTATCTTCAACAACACATGGCCTCTTATTCCCCTTATGGTTAATCGCCCAGGTACTGGCTGGTCATACTCACATATATTATCATTAATATAAAGTTTGGTTAAGACTGTTATTTGGGTCAGTTTTATATAACGCCACTCATTTCAGTACTGTATTAAGGCTAGTATTTTCAGAGATTCCTCTACTTATTTACGCTGTGCTTACTTTTCAGGTTCAGGTTGGCTTATACCACTTACGTTTTGTAAAATCAAATCTCTAAATATTACTTTCCAGTGAGTAGGGTGTAGGGTAAGGGGTTTTACTCTCAGCAATTAAGGGGGAGTCCTTTGTTACTCTATATAACATATACTCCTCTTTTTGCTATCATTAGGTTAAACCTCTCTTTCACTACAGTAGTGGGGGAAGTCTCTGATTCTGTGTTGGGTTATGACCAATTTCTGAGTTAAGTGTTACTGTCTTTTCAAATTCTAGGTGGCCACTAGTATAAAATTTTCTGGTCTCTTCGCCTCCGTCATAGTGGTCCTGCGAGGCCAACCCCCATTTGATAATATTCACCCCTCGGGCCAAATACTAGTTATCCGCCTCACACGTTTGCATAGAGAGTGCCTCTCTTGTCAAACCCTTTCTATCTTATGCTTTTAGTTGTCATCGAGAGGCCAACACCCCGCCACAACGTTTCGGTGGCAGCATTTTCCCTTGCGCCAATCGATTGATCTTCTCAAGCCACTTGGCATCTAGTAGGGCCTCACCTGTCACCACACTTAGGAAATTGTTTCGCAACTTGGCATTAGTTAGCTAGCCAGTAGCCAATATGGTACAGTTGCTGATTATGTCTTGAATATTTTTCTTTTAGTATGTCTCAGCTACCTGAAGATACAATTTGCCTCTCCCCAGTTCTTCGGTCAGGTCCTTGTCACCTTCATGAAAAGGCGACATTGTTAGCCCAACTTCTATAAGATCATGGACAATCCCTCGTATTGTCCAGTTAGATATAGGGCCCAATTCAAAATTCTGGCGCTTGCTTACAAATCCCTACATAATGCTGCTCCAACATACCTATCCTCCCTCATACACAAGTATGTCCCGTCGAGACCCCTGCGCTCAGCCCAAGACCTACTCCTATCCTCTGCCCGGATCCCCACCTCTGATGCTCGCCTTCAAGACTTCTCCAGGGCTGCACTTATTCTGTGGAACTCCCTTCCCTCCTCAATCAGACTTTCACCCAGCCTCCATTCCTTCAAAAAATCTTTGAAAACTCACTTCTTCATTAAAGCGTATCAATTAAACTCTCAGCAGGTTTCTCATCCCCCACCCCATGACTCCGTTCCTTCACCTGTCAAAAATGACCTACCAAGCACTCAATAAACCCTTCTGTAACAAACTATTTAATTCCCTACTTTAACCCTTTGTGTCACTATACCCCACTCCCTCTAGCATGTAAGCTCATCGAGCAGGGCCCTCAACCCCCTCTGTTCCTGTACATCAGTGGTCTGATCTCAATTATGTGTCTGTTAGTCCACCCATTGTACAGCGCTATGGAATTTGTTGGCGCTGTATAAATAATAAAATAATAATAATAATTACTGCGGAGCTTCGTAGATGTAGTATCCCTTTTCCTGCTACGGCCAGAAAAGCTGAACTATTTAAGCTTATGTGGACTAATACTGATAACTCAGGGGTGGGAGAGGGGACAAGTGGTCCAGGCAACTCAGACCTTAATGCCATGATTGCCTCACTGGTAGCATCTATAGGCAAGGTTAAC